CCCCCCCCCCCCCCCCCCCCCCCCCCACAAAAAAAAAAAACTGCCAAAGTACTGGGTGATATTCTACCGCACGTAGGATCTTTCCAAAAAAACAAATTATGCCCATCAATAAGGGTAACATCGACGAGTTTTCTTTTGCTTCTCTCTTCAGTGAATAAAAAGTATGCTCAGCGCATGAGTGAATCCCAGCAACACGCACTCCCAGTACTGGATTTCCATACCATCGGGGAAAATTTGGTATTCTTGGAAGTTAATGACAGTACCTCTTGTTGCATTGGCCGTATTTGCTGCTGCTGCTGCTGTTGCTGTTCGGGATGCGAATGCATTGAGGTAGGAGTTAAATGAGAAGCTTCCACCGGAGTTGCTGCACGCATGCGACACGGCTGCACTGATGGACCAGCACTGCCCTGACTCACATACGAATATTGCGAATAGCCTGAAACATAAAACTAATTTCGAGAAAAACCGCATACTCCCAGTTTGCTCCGGGCAAAAATAACATTTCCTGCATATATTTTTTCAAACACCATCTGAACCAATTCATCAAATCTTCACATTACTAAAATACTCAGTCGGTATTCAATCCTCACAACCGAATTTTGTATTACTCGCATCGCTAACAACGCCGATTTCTGCGGTCAGATCAGTTACCCATCCTAACTGCCATAAGACAAAGCCATAAATACTGTTCCGTTCTAGGACTAGCCACTTCTCACTATGTTTCCATGGGAAAAACGCGTCTTCGTAACTAAAACAAACCATTACTACCTCATACTCAATTCATTTGCTATTGAAAATGACGAAAACGCTTAAAATCTCTAACAATACAAGTCCCGGATGAGAACGGAACTAAAAAAAAAAACAGCTGTGGCCCTGGTACCGCAAAAATTTAACAACTGCGCTTATGAGTAGTTAAATTATCGGATTTTCTGTATGCGCCATAATTTCTAAATTTTATACATTCACACCGAAACACGTGTATCATGTAGCATTACTGCTTCCTGCATTTCTACGCGTTTTCTGCTGCAACAGTTGCATAAAACGCACACTGTCCTGGCCCTCCGTGTGTGCGCGTGTATGTGTATATGCACATGTGTGTGTGTGTGTGTGTGTGTGTGTGTGTGTGTGTGCGTGTGTGTGTGTGTAATTCAAGTGTACTTTGTCTGTGGTTTTCATCTCACACATCAAGTAAACCAGAAAGCTGAATTCTTAAGATAAGGCTTCTAGCTCAAATACAACCCCGCGATCTGAAGTTCACCTTTCATACCCACATTTCATGGTGGTTTCTGCAGGAAAATTACCAACTCGAAAATTAGAACTGGGCAGCAAAAATTAAAGCAGCATGTTATGTGCGACACCGAAAGCTTCGAATTCCGCTCAGGTCATGCGTACGGAAGCAGTGCACATTTTTAATAGAAAAATAAAAAGCAGTTCGTACTAGAATAGCTGGCGCAATTATGCGCTTCGTATAGTTTCGTCCATCATCTGCTCTAGTATGGCTGCTATTTATTTATTTTTCCTCTTTTTTTCATAACTTCTACGTTGCCACAATCTCCGTTATCATTGTCAGATTCATCCAAAATGCTTATTGAAAGGCGGTGGCACAAAG